TTTCCAAAATTGGTGTGGATACTTCTGGCGGTGGATGGATCGACGAATTTCCGAAAACAATGGCCACCCCCTTCCCATGGGGATACTTCAACATATGGTGCAAGGTGGACGAAACTATCTTTACGTGGTGCAACCATGGCCGCCCCAAGAGTAGATTGAAGGTTGCAGGAACTTCCAGGATGTGAAAGTCTATCTCATGTTGTCCCAGACCAACCTTAGTTTGAATTTGCACGGTCCCCTTCACCTCTCTACTTGTGTTATCATACGCCCTTATCACCTGGGTGGTTGGCGCAAAGTTTGCGGGTTTCAACCCGATTGCGTAGGCTGTCCTCGCCGGGCACACATTGATGCCGGATCTGGTATCAACAAGAACCATCGGTATCCATTTGTTCTTACACTCCACAGAGATGTAGAGTGGCTTGTTGTGATTCGCACCCTCGGGTGGCAATTCTTTGTCGGAGAAGGTCAACATCGGGGAAGCTCCTCCCGGAAAGACCAATCCCACCAGCTATTCCGGTGTGGTTTCTATTGAGAGCTTGGCCTTATCCATTGTCGATAGGACGGCCTGTCTATGTACTCGCGAAGCCATAAACAGTCCCCAGATGGAGATGTCTGCTTGTATCTTTTTCAGCTGCTTCAGTACAACCTCTTCTTCGAGTTGTTTCTATTTCTGTTTCTTCGCCTCCTTATCCTTCTCGGACGCTTCTGGTTGGTCTAAATGCAGGGGCATGAAATACCGCCCCCTCCTGGTCATATGATCGACTTCGCCGATGTACCAGCTATCGTCTGGTTGATTGCTCCCCCAATCCTCATCCGTGTGGGCAAGACATAGATCATCGTCCTCCCACCACATTCCATCGGTAACCAACAGACACCTGTCCGGCTCCGTTACCACTGCCCTTGTACTCATGGTACCTTCTATCCACGCATTCGCAACACCCTCTGTTCCTGTGTATACAGCACTTTTAGTCCCCACAAGGGCTTTGGCTTTCCTGGTTCTCTCAGAGTCTTCACTTCTTTCCTGTTCTAGCTGCGTCAATGCAGTCTGCTGTTCACAATTCCCTGTATCCAAAATGCCCAGATCCCGAGCGAAATTCTTGGCACCGGCGCTCTCTGGTGATGCATTCTGATCTCTGGCCTTCCGACCACAATTGATGTCCTTGCCCCTACCGGGCCCTGTTCCAACTGAGATTCTTCAACAACGTCTGGTAGGTCATCAAGCCACCCGGTAACCTCTGCTGACTCTTCAAAATCAGACCAGTTGACTGCCACGCCCTCTGGATCTTATTCATTGAAAAACTAGAGGTTAGCAAAATCTCTCTCCACAGCCGCCAGGTCATCTATCCTTTGACCAAATCCATCCCCCTGCATCACACAAAGCTCTGTCCCTGTCGGCAATTCCATATTTGGCCCAACCTGGCCTACTGACAGAATATAGTCACTCGGACTGTATACCTCCTCAACAAAACTCCCAGATTCCTCAGATTCTGACTCAATAATCCCATTCTCCACTGAAGTCTCCCCTGTTCTGTCTTCGACAGTCACCACCATTGGTTCGGGTTGGGTTCGGGAGATGTCTAACATGCACAAGTCTGTGCTGTTAGGAAGGAACACCTCTGGTTTAGGTATATGGGAAGAAGTGATGTATATACTGGGGTCGTATGCCGTAACCCCGGTCTGGATAAAGTTGATGCGTTTGGGAGGTGGAGCTTGGTTGTGTGGTGGGAGAGGGTTGGTTGTAACATTGGGTTTCTTTGGAGGCACGATCACCCCATTATCGATGAGATCCTGAATCTCATGGCGTAATCGGAAGCACTGGTCGGTGTCATGACCATGATGTTGGTGAAACGAGCAGTATTTGGCTAGGTTATGGGAAGGGAGGAGTTTTTTTGGCAATGGCCGCACCTTTAGGGGCTTCAAGTGCCCTTTTTTGATTAAAACCCCCAGAGCTTTGGACAGGGGCATATATAGTGGAGCGAAGGTTCTTTGGCTTTTGGGTGGGTATCTGGCTGTTTGCGAATTTCCACCAGACGCACCGGTAAATGGCGTAGCTGTAAGGGTTCTTGGGGTGTTGGTGGTGACCATGCTTACTTCCTGAGATCTGGCAACTGCAGCACTGCTTGTGCCTGCATTCGTACTGTGGTTGTTGAAGATTCTCCTGGGCTGGTCTCTGTCATTGTCAATCAAGCCCTGCTTCAAAGCATCCTCGAATATGTACTCCCATCTCATGTAGATCTGGAAAGGTGGGAAAGGGAGAACAATCATTTTCTGCATGAGCTTGGGTTAGAGATTGCGCACAATCATCCGAATTTGATCTTTATCAGTGGGCCTTAGGGTCATCATTGAGGCCTTGGCCCTCCACCGGGTTACGAACTCAGAAAAACTCTCCTTAGGTTCCTGCCTTGTTGTCTCGAGATCACGGGTTGTAATCTCGATTCGTGTATTACAGGAGTACTGGGCGACAAAAGCCTCGGCCATCTCATCCCAATTCTACTTGACACCATCTTCCAATTTTGCGTACCCGATGGCCGCCACACCCGACAGGGTCCGGCCAAACAATGAAAGCTTCTGTAGTCTGGTGAGGCCCATCGGCCTTAATATATCCAAAAACAAACGTAGATGCACCATGGGATCCCCGGACCCGTCGAAGCGGTCGATTTGTGGCATCTTGAACCGATCTGGCAGCATCACAGCCGCGTCGGTATACCCGTCCTTAATATCTGGGATGGACTTTACCCCTTGGGACTTCCTGAACAACTTTTCAAGCTTGCTCAACTTCAACGCCGTAGGGTCCACCTCGAACTCAAAGGGAGAGTCCGGTTGATTGATAGGCATATCCTCTTGGGCATTCTGGACATTCGTTGTCTCCTCAGGTATTAGGATTCTTGTTGGGGGAGGAGCCTGGTGTGAAGCGAATGCTCCGGTTTGCTGCTGTAGCCGGGTAATTAGCTCTGCCTGTTGGGCCATAACGACAGCCTGTTGTTTGGCAAATTCTGCTTGACGAACAGCGTCCTCCTACATGGCTTTCATGCTTTCCTGGAGCTGGCGCACCATATCTTCCATCCTTGACATACTACCCTGATTTATCTGAGCTGCCGGTGTATCTGCCTCTGTAGTAGACTTGGAAATCTCAACCCGATTGTTCAAAGACCACTGATCTGGCAATCTCGGTACCAATACACTGCGTTTTCTCGATTTTTGCCTAGCAACCGGGGGTAAAGAGTAGAACACTGGTTGTCCGTCTACCAGATCCTCAGATCGATGGAGTCGACAACCTCTAGTCCAGAGTGCTTGGGGAATATCTGCTTGATCGGAAGCAATTGCGCTAAATTACCTAGCAAAAAAATAAATAAAGCAATAATAAGGAAATAAACAATCAGGAAACGAACAGCATAACAGCTTAAATAAACACAACACGCAGTCGATAAGCTGAATACACCATTCTCAAACACTGATCATGGTTCCCCAAATCACTGCCCCCAAAACTGAATCTGAAACCCACAGATAACTGATTCTCAAAATACTGAACTGTTCATATTATAGCTTCCTATACAAAATAGAGGACCAGAGTGGCAATTTGTAATATCGAACATAGAAATATTTAACAAAAATGGTTTATCAATCTTAAGTCATTGATATACAGAAATAGGATTTTAGCTGCGTCTTCTTTACAAGTCTCATGTAGATGGATATATAATGTGGGTAAAGTTCTTCATGTCGTTCAATCATTCTTTCTACAAAATCTTGATTACGGATTACAAATTTCACATAACAAAACAGATTATATTGAATTAACCTTTTACGCAATTCAAAGGGGGATCACTGATGCATAACTTTCTCTTACAGTCGGTTACCCTTAATATAATTCAACTATCATGTAAAACACAACTTATCAAAATACCTAACACAATAGTTTTTCAAAATCATGGGTCCAAACATTACTACAGCACGGAAGACATAACTATATCATAAAAGTTAGAGTATCACATATATCATTTTCTTTGGTCTTAGACATATTCCATACTTAGTGTTTAAACAATTCAACTATCAGTCCAAAACAAAAAACCACCAATAACATACATTTTACTTAATCATTTGCATAAAAAAAAAAAGAAAAAAAGTTGCCTTACCAAATATTTTCCCTTTTCATTCTGTCTAACCAGACGGAGGTAGAATCCTCCTGATCCTCTATTCTTATTCTTGTCATGTTCTGCTCAACAATGAATTACAATATACGCAAGGAATGTACAATAGACATGAATCATAATCGTTAGTGTAGACGTCCCCGAACGCCCCTGGAGGAATGAGTCCCCTCCCGTCCTGTTCATGTTGGGCTCACTACAGTTCAGGACTCTCAAATTGTCACGGTTCTTAATCTGAACCAAAGAGTCCAAATCCGGCAAATTGTTTTGAGAAAACAAAGGTGATGTTAGTAAATGAAAAATGGAGCCCCAAGTCCTACAAACTATAAATGATTAGTAAGATGTGAGTTTACACCATCTAGGAAGTATATTTCATTTTGTATCTTATTGCACTTGAAGGAAAGAACTCAAATTTTAAATGGACAGAGCAAGCAAGACCACAAACACACAGAATGATCTCCTAAGATAGTTTTATACATACAAGAAACTTATCCATTCTGATTGCTACATAAACCATTGTCTCTTTCGTTTGATTGATGCCCCCAGTGGCTGGCTCCGGGCATTTGTTTTCTCGAGTGATCTGTGTTGTGCACTTCATATTGTTTTTATTTTCCATGAAGTTCTTTATGTTTTCTTCGCTTTTAGTTTTAGTGTTCTATCATCCTCCCTATTTTTAAAGCTATTTTACTTATTAATTTCATTGTTTCCAGGATCAAGAACAGCTCATCCTTCTTAATTAGCAACGATTTATCTTCAAAAGTGGTTCAGGTAACAAACAAAAGAAGCAATAATGACTAGTTACGTAGAATGCACTAAAACTTTCAATGCATGTAGAGGTCTTGTGACATGCAAAAGAGTAAAAAATTGGAAGTATTAAGTTAAATCAAATTACCTCTCCTCCTTAAAGCTTTTTGTAAATCTCCTAGTAAAGTCTGCTTGAGTTTCTTTCCGGCAGATGAAATAAATGAACCATTGGGTAACTCTATTGATAGATCAAGATCTCCCCACCGTGTAAAGAGATTAGAGACAAATGATCCATATGGCTCCACAGTTGCTCCTATTTGCACCATTCATCATTAATAAACATTGTCAACTATAAATCATATAACCAACATTGTCGGCTATAAATCATATAACCAATGCACACTATAAATCATATATCCTAGATAGAATCCTAGGGACCAACAAATCAAGCTACCCCTCACGGGTAAAGTAAGAATTTAGTAAACAACTACTTTAATAATAGTCAAGCGACATAAGACACACTAACACGTTTTTTCTGTTCTAACATTTCTTGCATGTTTTAGTTTTGTATCGCATATAAAAAAAGCCCATTTTTTTTATACATGTCTAGGATCATTGAAGTTTTTTCATGAGATGAAATGGTTTCATTTTTCAAAATCACTATGGCCAGCTGCAGGTGATGGTTCTCTGGCTTGAATGCTTTAGGAAACCAAATGCACTTAAATTACCATTGCATCTTATATGCAAATCAAGAAAGATTGCAAAAGAAGACGGTGAGTTTTTCAGCTATTACTATGCATGCACAACTGGATTCAAAGAAAGAAACAACAATATATTTTAGCACATAACTGGATTAAAAGAATGAAATATTAATATAATTTAGCATCAAGTACCTCTAAGACTTTCCACAGATTCAACAACAGCTCGAAGCTCATTAATAAATTGAAATCGTTTTGCCCAGTCTTCTTCTAAGGGACTGATCACACGAAGAATATCCCTGAGAGTGAGCTCCAATGTACTGTAGTCGTTCATTTTTTAGCACTAAATAACATTGAAAACGGCTGATGTAGATGAGCATTCAAAAACTAAGGCATAAGGATGGCCATCCACACTGATCAGAGAGATACACACTGTGGAAGCAGTGAATCATACCAAGAAAATCTGATTGACTACCTATTCTGGGAAATTGAATGTACTATAGGAAATAAATCTTGGAATGATCTACGAAAGCAAAGCCTCAAACACCCTTTGGAATAGCAGCCATGACCTGAAAGTTGAAGGAAATATGAAGACATGTCAATGTATAAATAAATTCCATCCATTACTTATGAGAAAGAGAAGGTATATCCACTCGGCTTTTTTTTTTTTTTTTAAAGCTTAAACTTGTTGGTGTGCTCAAAATTTTCTTGTCAAAATAAATGAGTGTTTGACTGTATAGACATGAACAGAAAATGAAAAATGAATGTTACATAATGTGAACAACTATAAGAACAACTATCAGTTTCTGTTACTTCAAAAGCTTCAAAATCAATTCAGTAAATCATAAAGAAAAAGTAAGCCAACATAAAAAATACTACACCCTTGATATGTCTTTTTTTCTTTTCTTTTCCTTAGAAACTAAGATTGCTCCAACCCAATCCATCCTTTTACCACATGAGCCAGACCAGAGGCTCAATATCTAAGAAGCACGGATACTTTTTATTTATTTATTTATTTATTTATTTATACTTTTTTTCTTAAATATCCTTTGCTTTTCCTTCTTTTTTTGGTCAACTTATTGGATGAGTATTAATTAGCATCAAGAAACAAGATATATAATGAGGCTCAAACAAAAAAAGCAAGAGGCAGACAAATCGTAGCCACAATGAACAACTATACAGATCATAGTCCTAATCAACTATACGGTAAAAACAAAAAATCCATAATCTAAAAAGAAGAGACATTAAGCCAATTGATATTGAAAGAATTTAGGGATGCACCTTTATATCACTTTTCCCCCCCCCCCCCCCCCTTCTTAAATCCTTGTCGAAACAGATGCAAACCGATCTGTTGTTAGTTGCATTAAGAATACACTGAATTAGTTTCATAACCCATCATTTCTTGGGGGCAATTCAAATTATTATTTTCATCAGGAAGTTCATTTTGGTCTACTCCAAAAATATCTGTTCCACACATCTTTCTGATGTAAGCCCAAAAGCAATCTTTTACGAGATGCATTAGTTTTGCACTACGAGATTGTCTGAATCATTTCCACTACAAATGTCTTCTTTACTATAACTTTACACCGGTAAAAGATTAGAAACTGTTAATTAAAGATACCTAATTATCACCACTAGACAGAAATTTAACAAGATGGGCAACAGCAATCTGGAAGAAGCCAATAATTCATGGCTACTGTGTTTTCTCTCAAATTCTCAATTATCCAGTGCAAGCAACACTAATCGTGCTCCATTATTCAAGTACATTAAAAAGGCATGCCTTTCCTCTCAATAATAATCTTAAACCTCTGGTTAACAAATCTAGATCCTCAAACTTATATCCTGGATATCCAACATCACATATTAAAATATAATCGATCAAAGATTAAAGAAAATCTCCAAACACCAATTCTATAATCTGTAACAATTATGAATCAATCTATGTGTTTCATGATTTTTCCATTACAATAATCACTATTATGTATTCATTAAACCCCACTACAAATAATCACTATTACCGCTACAAATGTCTTCTTTACTATAACTTTCCACCAGGTAAAATGATTAGAAAGTGTTAATTAAAGGTATCTAATTATCACCACTAACTAGACAGAAATTTAACAAACTGGGTAACAGCAATCTGGAAGAAGCCAATAATTCAAGGGTATCAAGTGTTTCATCTCAATTATCCAGTTTATTATTCAAGTATATAAAAAAAAAAAAGACATGCCTTTCCTCTCAAGCATAAACCTTAAACCTCTTGTTAACAATTCAAGATCCTCCAAACTTTAAATAAAAACAATCAATCAAGATTAAAGAAAATCTCCAAAGCAAAAATAAAAATAAAAAATAAAATAAAATAACACCCAAATTCTGCAATCAGTAACAATTCTGAATCAATCTACCCATTTCATGATTTTCCCATTACAATAATCACTAATAGTAATCAAGAAACCCCATTACTAAAAACAACAAATAGACTCTTAGATTGAAAATTCAACTACATATCTCACAAAAACGAAAGAGATAAGGCAACGTTACCATCATTGAAGATCGATTGACGAGGACTTGAAAATCAGTGCCAAACTTACAAGGGTTAAGTCTATATATATATATATAGTTTGATGAACTCAACATTAACAGTGATAAAAAATAGTCACTGCAATAAAGAATCAGATGAAATCGAAGAAAAGGACGATCTTTATTTCTAGGGTTTGAATGTAGAATTGAGAATCGTACAATCACCAAAATGGTCCATCAGATTGAGCATTTCGCTTTTCGGGTATTGTTTAAAAGTAGTGGGTGAGGCGGCTTTGCTTCGCATGAGGGTTTTCTATGACTCTCTCTCTCTCTCTCTCTGTGCATATATATATATATATACATACACCATGTATATGTGTGTATTGTGGGTATGAACTTGGGAGTACGAAACGCGGGAGAGAAGTTCAAATTACAGTAATGGGCGTGTACACAAACAATAATATAACTCTATTGATGATAATTTTTGATTGATGATTGAAATTGGTTTTCTACAAATTTTCTTTCACCTTGTTCGTTCGGAAATGGGTTATTTTAATAATTTTTTTTTTAAATATACAAAAAAAAATTAAGTGTAATAATTTATAATATTTTTTTAATTTTTTTTAGGATTGTTTTGGAAAGATAGTTAGGTGCCGTTTGGTAACACACGTTTTCAATTTTCTGTTTATATTTATAAAAATTTAAAAAACTCAAATAAAAACTTGTTTGGTAAAATTTTTGATTTATAAATCAGTGGTCTCAGTTTATAAATTTGGCTAAAAAATAAAAACACAAAAAATATGTTTCCATTTTGAGTTTTCAGTTTTTTTTTTTTTTACGACCCAACACTAGCCACCACCCGCCACCATTTTCTACCACCGCCTTCCGCCACCACCACCGACCACCCACCCCCCACCACCACCTGCCACCACCACTCACCACCCACCTGCCACCACCAAACTATTCATTTGTGCTTGTAAACCCATCTTGAAAATTCAAGCCAGAGTTCAAGATCTGAGTGACTCTCTATTCAATAGAGGAGTTGGGTTACTGAAATTACTGTGGAAGTTGCCATTGGAGGCTATAATGCCAATAAAAAAAATGGGATTTGAGAATAACGTGGCAGTGTTTAGTTTACTGGAATGCATGAAATAGTTAATTTATTAAAATATTTATTGTCATAGTTGATTAAAAAAGAAAAAATAAATGTATTATAAATAAAATCATTTTATACTATTTTAAAAGAATAACTATTTCATAGAAAAATTTAAGAAATAGTTATTCTATTTCGTCTATCACATTCCAATCAACAAAATAGAGCTTGAGGGTATAAATGATTCTGTGGAAAAATACATATAAAAAATTTTGAGATTTTTTTTGAAGAAAACAAAAAACAAGTGGGCCATTGATATATATATATATATGTACGGGGAAGAAATAATTCTCCTCGCTCCTCGTATAATCCTGTTGACCAAGTCCACGGCTCCTCCGTACGACGTCGGGCTTTTACCTTGAAAAACAACCAAAAACGGAAAGCTAAGCCGGCGGCGTGTTGTGCCGGAAAACCTCTCCCGAATGCCTAAGTCAGAAAACTGCACAGAATAGACAAAGCTCTATCTGTTCTCAGGAAAAGATTGTGTCAATTACCTCCTCCAAGTGATGTTTTTGAGCTTCTTATAAGTTCCAAGTCCCGCACAATCTTAGCTAGTAGGACTTCTTATTCCTCCATGCCGAGTCCTTCCTAGGAATTCAACTCCTAAGGATAATGCTTATCCTTTTACACCCTCCCCCACTGCCTTAAACCATTGTGGGCGATGGTTTTTTACTTTGCCGAGCAACTACTATATACCGAAATAAGCTTGGCTATGCAGAGCCATGAGTAAACCAACTCACCCTTAGTTCGGTTCTTGTGTTTTCCCTTTCTTATCTCAGCTTTCCATGTAGAACCCATGGTACGCTTTAGGACCGAACCAACGGCTTTCGCGCACCGCGATCTACCCCAATACCGCTATTAACTTCCAAGTTGCCTTCGGGACCGAGAGTAATCTTTTACAGTCACTGTGACGAAGTAACTTTGTCTCTCTTAAGGCCGAGTAAGCCTTGCCCTCCCATTGGCCGGCAGTAATATTGTGCCTTTCCTGGGCCGGAGTAACCCATTACGGCCTTCCCTGGGCCGGGAGTAGTAATCATTGCGGCCCTTTTTACGAGTCTTTGCACTTTTGGCCACCAAGAGCCCATTCTCATTAGCTCGACCCAATTTTTACCAAAAAATTACCCTCTCAATTGGCCCTTAAATTCCATCTGACAGCATGGATTGGGATTACCAGTCACAACCGAGCTGAAGTTACTTCGGGCTTTCACTTTGTTCGCGTTCAAAACGTTGTTCAATCACGACTGTAACGCTTCCCTTTCCGGTATACACGTGGCACGCCCCCATTCGTAGAAGGCAGCTCGGTCAACGCCGTCTTCGTGTTCGCATTTTTTGACAACAGTTCCCGCTTCTTCACCTTTCTTTTCCCTCTCTCTCATTCACCAAACACTCTTTTTCATTCTTGAACCATTCACCTCTTCTACATCCCTGTTCCTGAAACCCTTTGAGTTTTGAGCTTGCTTGTGTTCAGTGCCCCCATTAAGCTGCCATCTGCCCAATTTCTCCTAGCTCTTCTTTATTCGCGGTAAGCAAGCGCTATCCTTCTTGCTCTTGGTCTGCTTTACCATCTATATAGTTTTGTGTTGTATGCTTTTTGGCAAAATCACTTTCTTCCATTGTTGCTTTTGCTTCATTGCTTACTTTCACGAAAAAAAATAATAGCCAGAGCTCATGTGTGTATGAACTTCTAAAAAAAACTAGTTTTAGATCCAAATCTCGCCCCAAGCCGAACTAGGGATACTGTTTTTTGTGCTAGTGGTAGATCACTTTAGTCAATAGACCGAACTAGGAACTTTAGAGATGACAGTAGCTTCAAAAAAATAACCTCACTGATTCACTTTAGCCGAAATGGTAAGATCATCCGACGAAGTCTGAATTACATTGAACTTAAGAACCTTAGTCTTCAACCAGAGCTAAGCCCTTTGGGCTAAGCCAGCTTTCTTAGTTTCTAACAAAACTCTGAGAAAGCTGCCCCTAGTGGCTTAACTGAAGCAAAAAAACCACTGTTCGATACCGCAGATCAACAGAAAATCCTAAAGGAAAAACCGATCAATTGCGCCCACAATAAGTTCAAACCGAACTAATCGAGTGTTGTGCAGAAACCGAAACAGAACCAGCCCATAAAGCCGAAACAGGGCTCATTTACCTTGTTTTTAATCTGTAGCACAGGTCCAATGATCTGTGCTTAACCCCTTTGTTTTCTACTTTGCCAGACTTAGGTTAAACCCAGGCACTCCTGCGTGCCGCTCAACCGAGCTACTGGGACACAATTTTTTGCACCGATATAACTTATTGGTAAATTAATACAAATGGGTAAGTATAGTACTTGGTACGAGACCCCTGGTGCGTAGGCACTCGATTCCGAAGGGATTAGTGCATTCCAGACATGTACACCTTACCCTAGCCAGGACAGAAAACTATTCCGTGGAATAACAAGGGCTTCGTCCCCTTTACTGTTTTATCCAATTTATAGAAACCGGACAAGGTTCCCGGTCCAGCCTTTTAATTTGTTGAATTTCTTAGGCAAACCAGACTATGCCCAACCCAGCTATCCACCAATACACCATACGATAATTAAATGGTCGCCGAGCTAACACCCGCCCAAACAGGCCTGAACCTCCGGTTTAGCCGAAATCTTCCATACCAATACTCAAACACCTCCAGTTTTCCAAAGATGATGGCTGGGTTTTTACCTTTAGATACGCCGACGTAGAGAAAAGATAATAAAAAATTACACCGGATAAGGATGTTAATGCATGAGACTTTGCTGGGTATCGGGCAATTTTGAGGATCCACCAAGCCCAAATCCCAGGCCGAAGTATTAACTGAAGAAAGGAGAACCTGGTAAAAGTTTACCTCGATTTTATATTTTTCTTGTACTCCGGTTTTCAGAGTTATAACCGACCTAACAGTTGTATCCTTTGCACAACTTAGCTCATCTTCCTCCTATTACAAGCCCTAA